TGATCTTCACAGCTCGCGCTGCGATGCTTCGTCTCGTGGCACCGGCTGCATACCTCGGCAGCTTCGTCTTCTTTCTTGCGAACACCCGTCCACTCGCATTTTCTTCTTTCTTTTCGCCCGCTCGATGTGTTAAACGCCCGCGTGCGTAAAGTTCCTTGCACTTCGCAATTGATAATTTGAGTTTAAAATGTTGAGGCGTTAGCGTTCAGGTGCTACGACACTCGTTCGTTTCACTACTGCTTTTATGATCTCGAAGTTCTTACTTGTAGTTCCACATATACAAATTTCATCACTTGAATGAGCCAGTTATTTAATCCACTTGGAAAAAATATTTAAATTACTCTGGTTCAGTTACTATCTTTACACTTTCCGCCAAATTACGCCCAAAATGGCTACCTCATCACATCTTCCGCGCTCACAGCGAATGAAAAATTACCACAAACGTACTCTCTTAACGACCACTGCTCATACGACTTCTCGAACAAGAAGGAGCTATTCGTGCGGCGACTCGGACATGAAAAGCTTGTGGTCAGCTGCACGCAATATTCATGTGGCATCCCTATCATGTAAGGGGAGTACGTCATGCCCCTTTCAGGACTGAACCGACATGTGTATCCCGCCCATGAAAATTTGCCGTTGTCGTTGTTGTCAGCGGATACCAGATTTCGAGTCGTGCCAGATCGGACGCGGAATATCAGTTTTGGAAAAAATCCTAAGACATGAAGTCCGGGTTAGGCGCAAGTGGTGTTCACAGACAGACAGATGGACGGACGGACATTTTGAAAAAGCACATTTTCGGAATCAGGGGACCCCAAAACATGTAGCACCGTTGAAATATCGAAATCGATTTTCCACAGCATTACATAACTTTCTCTCTACTACTATATTACTCCGTTTACACGTACGTGTACGAGAAAGTAAAAAATACTAATTTTAGAAGACAACCATGGCCGCGATCTTGCCTCCATTCTCAGTTGGATGTTACCCCCTCCAGCTACTCAATTCATCTGTATTTAAACCTAACGGGAGACGGCGGACATGACTAAAGAGTTGGACTTCCACACGAAGACACTAATCCGGTCACAGTCATTATTATAGAAGGGCAGAATGACGTTCTGGAGCTCATGTTCTGTCATCAACTTCATGGGATATAACAAGAGCATTTATTACACAGGAAGGACTTTAATCTAGATTATGGGCCGAATTCATAGTCGTTTCTTATAATGAGTGTTCTTTAAGTAAGAGATTCCGAATTATAACGAGTTCTTATTTTCAAGGATGACGAAAGAGCTACCACTCATTAGTGTAAGGTAGGTCGCCTGTAGCCTTACGTAATCTTCATTTGCCAGAAGGTTAAGCAGCTTTGATTAAGTGAAGTCTACGAACACTTAAGTTTACACGAAATCGCAGACGCCGATGATTTTGTGGAGTATTTTGCGTTTTACACTCAAAATATCGTCCGCGTAACGAAGGGTATCAGAGATGCTGGTAATCCATTGAAAATATACAACGAAGAATAATTCAGAAGATAGTTTCGTTTTTTAACATCAGTGTTGTAAATAATATTGTACCTCATCGAAGAAAGAAGAAATGAAACCAAGAAAGCCTACCAATCTCTCCCCTTGTGAAGATGCTAATACTAGCATTTAGATGATGATTATTATTATTATTATTATTATTATTATTATTATTATTATTATTATTATTATTATTATTACTAACTGATAAAAAGACAAAATGCTCACCGATACAAGCTTCGTAAAATTACGTTTAATGTCAATTTGACAACAAAACACACAAGTCACAACGGAAGCAAACGGTTACCACTGTTAAACACTGGCCCTGCTGACGGAAATCCAACGTTGCAACATTTCCGATACCTTTGAATTGAATTTGCCTTATTTTACGTGGCGAGACTCGGGCCATCAGGCCCGCTCTTCCGTCTGACCACGCAAATTTCGCTACGCTCCTTTCACCAACTAGCAGAGAAAGGAGGTATATCTTGGGCGAGAAACCGGCGATTTGAATTTAGCTCAGAGGCGTCATTTAGGCTTGAGGATCTTTTACATGCAAGTAAATCTACGAACATGGGACAGCCGGCTTTACTTCCCCTCCGAAGGAAGGCGTACGAAGGATTTTTTCGCCCTTAAAAATCCACGGCTTCGATCGGGTTTGAATCCGCCAACTTGGGTACAACAGTCCAGTACGCTAACCGTTACACCATCGCCGCCGCCGCATACCTTAAGGAACACTCATTTCTGCTCCCATGAGAGACGTCTATGAAATACAATCCTCCTTAAGTGATCCCTCATTTTGAGAAACTCCTTATTGCTGAAGCATTCCTTATTGCCTAAAGGACCGACTATGAATTCGGTTCTATAACTTGTAAATGAAACATGGGAAATAAATGTTTGCTGTCTTTGACAACAACAAAACACAGATTGGTCAGGGAGCTTTACTTTTATGACCTCCATGTCAACTTCATAGGTTGTGGAACCTTCATAGGGTTACCATACGTCCTCTTTTCCACGGATATGACCTCTTTTGAAGTAAGAAACATTGTCCGGGTGGAAAGGAAGAAATGTTCTCTTTTTTATTGGAAACCTGATATTACTTTTAATGACAACCTGGAGGCATGATATACAAAGGACTTCTGTCAACTTTTTGGAGTCCCCGACATCTATAAAATTTCATTGATGTATAAATAAATGATATTTAACTTCAACTTTCTCACCAAACAACCACCAAATTTAATAGATGAACTATATCTTCATTTACGTCATTTGCTCCACGAAATTTGAAAGTGTTGCCATCAGCTGGAACAACATATTGTAATTCGTATAGTTTCCTGGTGCTGGTTATAGATTCTGTGCTCTGTGTTAATCCTGTTCTGGTGGCCTATGGGGTTATACTTGGATTAAAACACGAGCACACTTTCACGGTCACGAGCTGAAAAGTGAGGGGGAGACTTACCCAATCGGGAGCTTCAATATCAACAATTTAAGTTATAACGAAGTTATATTTCGAGCAGAAAGCCAAAAAAGAAAGGTTTGTTTGATGATGTACTTAAAAAATGTTCAAAGTTTGTTGCGAGGTTCAAAGCAAAGAGAAGCAAAGTTGTAATTTTTGAGGGAGATTTCATCATCAACCAAATACGTCTGGTATATACGTGAGAAAGATAGTAATGATAATGAAGTAGGCCTATTCTGTGATTGTGAAAGTGATGACAATCATTGAAGTATTTATGTTGTCAGTAGTAAGTATTTTGTCTTTAATAAACATATATTATTATATTAAAACATTGTATATGAATGCCCTCTTTGTTATGAGAAATGTCCTCTTTTTCTACAGTAGAAATATGGTGAACTTAAACCTTCATCAATTTTCAATGAGTTAATCATTATAAAAGCTTTTTTAAAATATTTGACAGTTTTCAGATTGGTCCTCTTTTACTGAACTATTGCTGAACAATGAATTGACAGAATTTTTGACAACAAGAAAACTGCCCTATTAATTGTTTAGGCTGGTGGATGACGCCTTTTGTTGTTTTCTTTGCTTCGTGGCTAAGCCAGATTACATCCTGAAAACAATTTAATTCAATTTAATACTACATTTATGTATCCAGAGACATCCTAGATATAACTATATGCAATAATGTATGAATATGGCTTCTATTAATTGAAGGTTACCTATAGAAGAGACGTTTACACCTTGGTACCTCAATTTTTGTAAAATAATATAAACAAAAGCGATAAAAAATGCAGAAATTTTTAGTTTTCGCACGTCAAATTTTTTAAACTTGTATAAAATCACGGAAAGAGCTCACACTACAAAATCATTCACTTGAATAATCACAAATTGCAATAGCAATGCAGAGAAAAATAACAATCCTTAATTTCTTTCACAGACTTCTCGAAAACTTGCTTTGAACATCTTCCCTAGATACGACAGTTTCACCTACTATTAAAATTATATTAAAATCGACAAACTTCAGAGAATTATATAATTATTTTATTTTATACAATACAAGTTACGTTTTACATCTACGTTTTTTAGTTTTGAAACACGTTTCAGGAGCTAATGAGGGCGCAAAAGCTCCTGGAACGTCGCGTTTGAAAACTGAGAAACGTAATGAAGTATGGAATTAAGTATGGTTTTAATGAAGTAGGAACATAAGATGTAAAATTTAATGTGTATTGAATGAAATAAAATAATTATATAATTCTCTGCCGTCTAAAAAAGTTTAAAGGGACTGTTTTTTAAGAGCAGTACTAATAAATGAATGTATACTAAAAATGTTTAAAATAAGCGCCCTAGGTCTTTGAGCCAATCAACGTGAAATGACTTTTCAAGAACACGGTATTTGTAAGTTCTTTCGTGATTGGCTACCCGTAAACACGTGATAGTGAATTAGAAATGTTGCAGAGCTGTTCATGCTGTATAATATTGTGCAGACTATTTTGTTCCAGTATACTTCACAATAAGGTAAGTTAAAAACTATTAGTTAAATAATAATATACGTGACGTATTATGGGTACATTTTTTCGTTGTTATAAGTTGTTATATTATGGCACTTAAGAGATCGTAATGCATGTTATAAAAGAAAACATGCATACATAACCTCAAATCCACGTATAATGGAAGCGTTCATCCACTGGAACTTTCTTTGGCTGTAATTCAACGAATGACTATTTTGTTCATTCGCTGGTCATACAAAAAATATTGTCCTTAGCTCTGTTACTGAATACACTGATAACTTTATAAATATTGCGAAACATTCAGGACCACTGGAAGGTAGGAATGACCATTGCTGCCGGTAAATGGCCCGCTCGCAATTGATGTCGGTCATTCACTGGAAAACAATAGTATTTCGCTCGTTATAACGAGTGAATACTAATAAGGAAGCAACAACTTAATTTTTTGATTACCTATGTTCCAAAATAGAAGATTGTAGAAAGGAGAAAATGAGATCGTACTCACGTTTACGCTATATTGACAATATGTCTGCAGTTTTAGCAGTAGTACGAGCTGTTGAAATGGCTTTTGCCACTTTATTTAGTGAAGCTTACAAATATTCTCTAGATGTTGACACCATTAAGAAGGGTTTTGAAGTGTGTGGGTTATTCCTTTTTGATTCTGTTAGGGTCCACAACAGTAAATGCATTGCAACCATCACTGGGAGCCATCAAGAAAAACCACGTATGTTAAGCTCGAAGCTATAACTTTTTGAGAAGTTAGGCAGTATGGTGAAGATTAGGAAAACAGAGGTATGGCGGCCTGTATATGTCGGTATTGCGCTGCACAATTTTTTGAATATGTTGAAAAAAGCCATGCAAATGGGAAATAGACACACAGCTAGTTCTTGTTGTAGAAGGAGTGATATGCCATACCGACGTGGCCTCTCACACTGTGCGCCATATTGAATTAAAGTGTAATTGTTTTAATGCACTCTTGTATTACAAGTTCAAAGCATCTTTTTAGTTTAATGATAGAAAATTCTTTTTCATTCCCGATTATTACCATGCGTACTATTTTGGCATCTCTAAGTAGCCGTCATATTGATTCAAAGACGTTGAATTTGTCACTAGGACATGTATGATAGTACACAAGCGAGAAAAAATATTTTTTCATTGGTTTTGAAGTCTACAAGACGAGTCTAAGTGCCACACTGATTGGATGTCTCGAACGTAAGAAATTAACCTCTAAAGTTGTAAAATTTTAACAAGTGTGATGTATACAGATTAGATTTCCATACAAATGCATGTTTTATATAAACTCTGTAGAGATTTCAAACTTTGTAAATATGTTTCATGAAAAACTCGTTTAAAAAATGCATACTTTTTCCGTGCATGCTTGCATGTTGTAGTAGTTTTTGAAGAATTTGATACATAATGCATGTTTGAACATTTTTTTAAATTAAAACTGTATATTTAGACTTTTATCTAGCATGCTAAGTCCTTTCTTGTTATTTCGCTGCATAATTTGTGAATATTAAAACTGACGCATATTTTGTAGAAATAGTATGTTGAATGTAGATCCTGATAGCACGCAGTTGTCTTTGGTGCTTATTGTTTTACTACACATTTTAACCTTCCTTCCACACTACTTGGATTTGCGATGCGAGTCACATGCACTGAGCAACGAAAGCGCAGTGCCAAATGAAATATTCCCATATGAGGATACGGAAGATACGTCGCAAACGATACGAAATCAAAACTCAGTATCCTTTAATAACTGCCAATGGGAGAGGAAAATAAGAATCGGTTCTCAGTCTGCTTGCGTGCAACAGTCACGTTGCACGTAGCACAAGTTTCTGTGTGCAAGGTGTTTTGTGGAAACATGGCGCATTGGTTTCAAATAATTACTGTATGTGATAGTAGGCATATTCTTTTCAAACATTTTTCTCGAATGTCAGAATTTTACCTCTATTATTTCTAATATTATTGGGGGAAAATGTAAATCGTAGAGAACTCCATTTTATTTTATTCTCTTAATTTGATTTGAAGCACTAGAGCATCGCTGCGTCTGCTAAAAGAATAGTTTTATCAACAAGAGAAAGTAGTTTGACAAAACAAGTACCTGATTTCTACGACAAAGTCTCAAATTCGAGCCTATATAATTTCAGCACAGATAGTTTGAAACTGAACGTTTTGCTAAACACATTTGAGTAAAGTGCGCTTGTCTTAAATCGGACATTAATTTGCGTCAAAATTTGGTATAATTTGATTGAAAAATGGTAATTTGAAGCAAAATTTTAATATTTTTCTTAATAAATATGTAGCTCTATATAATTTGAATTTATTTATGCAAATTAAATGTTCTAAAAAGTTTCAAGTAGACCAGCACCTTCAATCTACTTCTCCTAGTGACAAAGCTTGAGAAAGGAAAGAACCTATGTCACACTTAGTACAAACTTTTGTTATGGAGGCAGCATTAACGCCTGTAAAAAATCCATTTTTAATGGAAATGTTTAATACTTCAGTAGGGACAAACCGTTAGAAAAAAGTAGCAAATCAAACGTTTAAAGGATTTGAAGTAAATATATGACAGGACATCCCGGATTCATACCCATGAAGAAACAAATATCTTCCTTAATTTCAGAAATTAGACTCAGTAGTTCTTCCTCTAGCAGGGGGACATTAAAAATTGTTGAAGACATTAAATTGTCTGGAATTAATGTTTGGAGGTCTGGGTGAGACTGCTTCGAAGAAATTACATAAAGGGCTAAATTCAAATCGTGACTTAAAATTTCACCAAAATGGAAAATAATTATATGTGGTGAAAAAGCAGAAAATGCAGTTCGACCTTATATTGGTTTATATTTCGCCTCTGTAGTATGCTCCAATTACGTCTTGTGTCGTAAGAACGCCATTTTCTACATTCAAAAACATTTTTGCTTGAGAAAAGAATGAATTTGTCATAGAAGAGTTTAGAAAAATTGTTAATTGTTCACTATTTCAAATGGCAATATAAGTGTTTTTTTAGGAAAATAAAATTTGATTGTGCATGTTTTGTCCTCTTGTACCCTTCATCGTTCATATTTGGCTATTTGATAGTGCATGTTTGCATGCATATTTTAACATTTGATAGAGCATTAACATCCTGCCTCTAGTGATCAGTACATGTGCAACTCTTTTGTTTTTAGTCATGTTTAATGTCTGAAATATATAGCATATCTGTAATCGATCAAGCCAAAAAAATTGCGGTTTAAGGAAGTTTCCGTTTTTTGCAGGGATGTCTATTTTCCACCCTGAAACTAGTAAATTACATGTCTTAAATGTAATTAATATTAACATATAATGTATTTATGGTAATTTAGTGGTGGATGTATCACCAATAAATGAATATTCAACTCTATTGAATGACAGTTCTTGAGTTTCTCTTGCTTCTATATGTTTGACATTTTCATCTGAGGTTGGAGTTTTGTGTTTGTTTTTTTCAAACATTGTTAAACTGGTTCTTGAAACTCAAAACATACACACTACCTCATGGTGGCTGCAGTGTAACTTCTTGCTGACTATTTCAAATTGTGTCACAGCCCAGAGTACTATGACTTTCTGTTACCCTGGCATGATCTTGAGCCACACGTGGTCTTTGGCCGAAAGGGTTATGATTTTCAAGGGCTGGGAGATGCATTAATACAAGTACTATGACCGTACACTTTCCCACGCTCAGAAAGTCGGGAGGGAAAGAAATCCTGTATGGCCTACGTCATAAGAGTCAAGCGATCCCAAAGTCTAATTCTATACTGTCAACTGAAGCCTTCTCCACTGTGCGGCAGCCACTAATAAATCTCGTGTCACTGGGATAGAGAATTTAAAACAGATTTACAGATGCATTCTTTTCAATAAGAATATCTGGCGTCTCTCTACCAATTCACAATAATTCTGCTTTATAAAAGATCCCCCGTTTGATTTGGAAAACCGTTCCGTTTCCGCGTTGGACAGATTCCATTTTATGATATGAAAAATCCCGTTTAACTTTACGGGCCGGAGAAAGTTTCCGGTTAAGGCAGGTTCCCGAATTGTACAGGTTCCTGTTTAGACATATTTTACTATATATATTTAATGTGCTGACATGGGTATTTGCCACATCGTTGTCGTGTATCTAAAGCGAGGAATAAACCTGAATATTTGTAAAATATTTTTAGAACAGGAAATATAATTAAATTGTAATCCTGATTTTTCTCTCTCTCTCTCTCTCTCTCTCTCTCTCTCTCTCTCTCTCTCTATATATATATATATATATATATATATATATTGTAACTGTATATAATTATAGCTAGTGAATTAAAACCAAACAGTATTTAAACAATTAGTTTATCGGGAACAAATTACTAACACTAAAATCTACTTGGTCTATTTACAGATATATATTACACTTTAATTATTTTCTTTACCCCACGACTCCGTCTCTCTGAGATTTATTGACCAGTCCACTCTTATACACTATTACATACCACAGTTCTTTCTATCTGTAATAGGCCAGTCCGATGCTCTTCCGACGGTCCCACTGCACTTGACCCAATTCCCTGCGCACAGACCACAATTCCTTGCGCAGACCACACTTCACTGCGCACACCAGGGTCTACTGCACTGCTGTTTACTGCGATGCTCACTTCACAGCTCAGCTTCCACTGCAGACTTCAATCTGCTGACTGCTGTTTCCCCACTGCACCACTGCTTACCGCGATGCACCCTTCACAGCGCAGCTTTCACTGCAGACTTCAGACTGCTGACTGCCGTTCAAGCGCTGCACCATTCTTCACCGCAATTCACATTTCACAGCACAGCTTCCACTTCGGACACACTGACGGACTGACTGCTTCTCTGCCACTCACTGACGTCTTACTACCCACTGACTTCTACTCACGTCTTCTACTGACTCGCGGCCGCCGGCAGCGGCGCATTTATACCTGCCCGGCGCTTGTCTCCAGGCACCCGGCACATTCTCGGCGTTTCCCGCGGCTCGCGGATAGTCCGGAACCGTCTAGTTCGGGGGGAGGGGGGGAGGCAGATGACGCAATCCGCGCGCAACGAATTCCGGCATGTGATGCAATATTCGTTACAATATATATCCCCAGTTAGTAATTCCCAAATCGCCTGTTGGGGGCCTTGCACATAAGGTGCAAGCTTGTTATACCTCATGGCAGTGGGATCTTTTGGTGTGTTGAGACCAAATCCAATATCAAGAACACATAAATAAGTTAAACAGGGTTTAATAATCTTAAAATCCTTTTCGTTACTTACAAAATCACACCAAAATCGAAATGAAGCAATAGCACCAAAATTGAAACCCTTTCAATGAAGCAAGAAAGAATCGTTTAACTGTTCGCAGAAGTGATCACTGGGAATTCCCTTTGTATCTCTGACTAATTAAATTTGCTACAATTCCTATTTGCATTATCCAATGATATAATATACACTTTAACACTCCATTCAAATAACTTTACTAAAAAACATATTCACCACACTCTACTACAATTTCGCTGTAGCCGCGAACAACAAACTAATATTGAGCTATTTACAGTTTCGTAGGCAATAGTTCTTTTAATATGGCAAGAATATCTGAATGATACTCAGATACCTCCTATATGCTTATTTCCCTCATA